CGGCGGACAAAGGGCCATGCGGGGCCGCGGGCGCTGAGCGCGGCGGCGATGCGGCGACGGCCCTGAGCGCGGCGCGATGCCGTGGTTCCCGGTGAAGAAGGTCCGCAAGCGGATGAAGCTGCTGCTGCTGCTGCTGCTGCTCACCTGCGCCGCGTGGCTCACCTACGTGCACCTGAGCCTGGCGCGCCAGGGCCGCGCGATGCGCCAGCGGCCGGGCCACGCGCGAGGTAGGGGAGGGGCACGACTGGACCGGGGCGGGCACGAGGCGTGGGCCTGAGCAGACCCCTGCACGCCCGGCCTCAGCGGGCCTCTGTCCTCCAGATGGGTAGGGGGCCCCAGCCACCCTCCCAACCGGGGCCTGAGCACAGCGGATGCTTCCCGCAGCGCCCCGGTGGTGTCCATTCTGGCGCACACCCTAGCGGGGTCCCCACAAACGAAGCAGCCCCTGTGGGCAAGAGCCAGGGAGGCTCTGAAACGCTGACCTTTGACACACACTTTGGGCGGAGCTCGCAGAAGGCCTTGCCTGATGAAAAGGCCTACAGGGAAGCAGGTGTCCTGAGGGTGTGGGGACAAGCGACCAGCATCCGTCCTCCGGAGACACCTCCCCCCGTGTGGGGCCGGAGCCCCCCTGCTGTACTCCTCCTGCTCCTCCTCGTGTGCCCGCACACCTGGCTCCCAGATCACTAGACCCTTCACCAGCGCTTGCATCTCAGGCCTGCCACACCTTCCAGAGACCCTGGCACTGGGCCGCCCCTAAAAGCGGCCCCCCACCCCAGCTGTCATCAGCATCATAAGCGGGAGCATCCGCCACCACTGGTTTCCCTGGCAGCCACCGGCCTCCCCATGAACAAATAAGGAGTCTGAGCCTAGCAGGAGCGGGTGGAGACACAGGAGCCCCACTTCCAGAGCTTGGACCCCTCTGCCTTCACTTGGTCCAATAAAGTAGCTGGTCACTAGCCCTGGCTCCTTGGCAGGCAGGTGCTGTTCCGGGTCCTGGAAGGTCAAAGCTACCAAGGGGCAGGCCCAGAGCAGCCTGAGCTGCACAGGCCAGCACCAGCCCCACACACTTGGCTCTGAGCTGGGCTGGGCACCAGCCCCACAGGCAGGCCAGGCTGCTGAGCCACTGAGCAGCTGGACAGGCCTGAGGCCTGCTCATCTGTCAGGGAGGAAGCATGGGGTGGTGTCCAGCAGCCTGTGCAAGCAGTGGTCCCCAGGGGAAGGTGGAGCAGGGCCTGGCTGGGACCCTGCTGCAGAGGCCCCATCACCCCTGATGCCTGGACTCAGCATGGGGTGTGGGCATCTGGCCAGCTGTGGGGGTGTGTCCAGGAGGAGTGACGGGAGAACCTGGAGTGAGGAGGTCTCAAAGGCCAGAAGGCCCTAGGTAACCCCTCTCCCCAGAGAAGAGCCCCTGGCCAACTTGGTCAGCTGTGCTTGTGCAGGATTCTTGCTCCTGAGGTCTGCAGGACATACAGGCATGCCAGGCTTGGCCTTGAAGCAGAGGGACTTCTGGCTTGGTGTCCCTACATGGGAGCAACAGGAGGGGCAGAGATGGGGTAAAGTGAAGCCTCCCCCTTCAGATGCTCAGATCCCAAGGCATGGACACCTCTAGCACACAGTAGCATGTTGAAGTTCACAGGTGAGGGAAGACATCCAGGAAGAGAAACGCAAGGGGGCTCTTGGAGAGGAGCCAGGCTGTGGAGGTGAACAAAGAGGAAGCCCAGGCTTGCTCCAGGGCCACCTTGGCACCAGGTCCTCTAACAGAAGGACAGTGTGCCCATCTCTCCTCCGCCCAGGCTGGTTCAGGTGACACAGGTACCATGAACCAGACCTAGCTTCGTCCCAGGGTGACAGTGGTGGCCCTCCTGGCCACTAGGATACTGCAGTAAACCCTGAGTTCTCAAATCTGGTGAAAGAGGCAGCACACAGGAAAGGTGCTGCACACACCAGGCAGTGCTGAGTTCTTCCCAATGCAGAGCTACTGGGTGAGGACAGCCAGGGGGCTATTGGTGTGCACACAGACACATGCTAACATGTCTATGTGCATGTCAATCCATACTAACCTGTTAATATGCATACAGATTGTGCTGGCCTGTTGCACATGCATGCTACCGTTACATGTGCACACACTTGCACACTGGCCTATTGCATCTGCACACAGGTATGAACTGGCCTGTTGCACAGATACATGCTGACCTGTGGCATGTGCACATGGATACATGCTGGCCTGTTGCCTGTGCACACAGATATGCACTGGCCTGTGATATGCGCAGTTCTGTGTGCATACATATATATAATGGCCTGTTGTGTGTACATGCAGAAACACACTAGCCTGTTGCCTGTGCATGCAGATACAGGCTAGCCTGCATGTGCACAGCTGTCCTCACCCAGTAGCTCTGCAGTAGCTCTGCACAGCTATATACCTTTGCACCAGCCAGAGGCTGGTAAGAGCTAATAGAGGGCTCCTGCCCAGGCTGTCCACTGAGGTGGCTTGTGGAAGGGCCACAGTGAGCAGTGGCAGGGTGAGTGTAGGTGTCAGCTGCCATGAGGGAGCAGACATGGCAAGACACTTCACCAGGAGACAGCACAGCCTTCCTGCCTGCGCTGGCCATGTGGAAGGGTGTACCTGCTCCAACTGACACCAAGCAGGGGTCCTGGCCCAGAGAGGTTCTGTGCCACATACACCTCACATGCCCCTTACAGATGGCGAGAAGTCAGCCAGTGTGACAGATGGCCGGGGTGTACAGGTGATACCATCCATGCAGAGGGTAGAAGACTCCAGCGAGAGTCGTGAGGAAGAGCAGGTGGTGAGTAGGGGCCATGAGAAGCTGGTGTGTGCATGAAGCCACTTGTGTGGACAGACACAGGTCCAAGTAACTGGTGTGTCATCGGGTAAACACGTCTGCCTAGGCAGGTGTGACACAGCATCTGGGTATGGAGGGTGCTGGGGCCACATGGCCAGATGTGTGGTGGGGTCTGGGAAGCTGTCTCTGTGATGCCTGGGCAGAGTGTGTGCGGCTGCAGGACCCTTCCCTGCCCTCTCTGTCCTGCAGCCCGAAGGTCAGGATGCAGATGAGCTGTTTCCTGAGAGGGTCCGGAAGCCGCCCCCGCTGAACCTCACCCATCAGGTGCCCACATGGCGGGAGGAGGTGAGCTCCACGGGCCTGGAAGGGCTGGGAGGTGGGGGGCAGCTGTGCCGCGGCTGATCCCCTCTGCCCTCAGTACAAGGGGCAGGTGAACCTGCATGTGTTTGAGGACTGGTGTGGGGGCGCCGTGGGCCACCTGAGGAGGAACCTGCACTTCCCGCTGTTCCCCCACGTGAGTGCCCTTGGGCAGTGGATGGTGGGTGGGCTGGCCTGTGTGGCAGATGCTGACGAGCAGCCCCTGCCCCCAGACCCGCACCACTGTGAGGAAGCTGGCTGTGTCTCCCAGATGGAGGAACTATGGGCTCCGGATCTTTGGCTACATCCACCCGGCAAGAGATGGTGCGAGGTTGGGGTGTGCGGGGGCGGGGGTGGGGGGCGGGGGCGGACTTAGCCCTGACCCTGGCCTGTGGACTAGGGGACATCCAGTTCTCAGTGGCTTCAGACGACAACTCTGAGTTCTGGCTGAGCCCAGATGAGAGCCCGGCAGCTGCCCAGCTTGTGGCCTTCGTGGGCAAGGTACCCTGCCCACCCCAGGCCCTGCCCCCCCCGGGTGCCCCCAGGAGGTGTACCCCACAGCCCTTCTGTGTCACCCCCAGACTGGCTCTGAGTGGACAGCACCTGGAGAGTTCACCAAGTTTAGCTCCCAGTTGTCCAAGCCCAGACGGTAAGTGACTGTAGGAGGTACAAGCATTTGTGTGTGTGCATACACATGGTGTGAGTGGGGTGTGTGTAAGCATTTGTGCGTGTATGCATTCATATGTTGGTGTGTGTGTGTGACTGTACAAGCATTCGTGTGCATGAACACGTGTTGGTGCAAGTAATTGGAGTATGTACAAGCATTCATATGTGTATGCTCATGTGTTGGTGTGTAACGGGTGTATATAAATATTCATGTGTATGCACACAAATATTGGTGTGTGAATGATGTGTGTACAAACATGCACACGTTACTTGTGTGAGGGTGTATACATTCATATGTGTGCACGTGTGTGTTCATGTGTGAGATGTATGTACAAGCACTTGGGTGTGCATACCTATTAGTGTGTATAGCTGGTGTATGTGCATTCATGTGTATGTGAGTGGTGCATGCATAAGGATTGATGTGTATACATATGTGTTGGTGTGTGTGACTAGGGTGTGTGTAAAACACTTGTGTGCACATATGTTGGGATGTGTGTGACTGTCTATACAAACATTCATCCGTGTATGTACATGTGTTGGTGTGTATGACTGGTGTGTGTGCCAGGATTCATGTGTGTATGCATACATGTTGGTATGTTACTAATGTGTTTACAAGCACTTGTTTGCACATATGTTGCTGTGTGTGAGTGACTGCTGTGTGTACAAGTGATTGGTATTTATACATTCATGTGCATACACGGTGTATGTGACTGGGGTATATATGCAAGCATTTGTGTGTGTGCATATCAGTCACTCACATGTGTGAGTGACTGGCATTATGTACCAGCATTTGTGTACATATGCACATGTACACTGGCATGTGAGAAGGAGACCAGTAACGTCTCCTTATCCTCTGTATCCTACCACACACCACACCAGCACCATCCTGGCCAGACCGCTATCCCTGAGGGACCAGCCAGAAGGCCTGGGTGCCACTACCCTTCCCTGGCTCTCCATCCATCTAGGGTTCTTGCACAAAAGGGCACAGCCCTGCCTTCTCTTCACAGGCTTATGGCCTCCCGGAGGTACTACTTTGAACTGCTTCACAAGCAGGATGACCGGGGCTCAGACCATGTTGAAGTGGCTGTGAGTGCCTCCCCCTCACCTCCCCAACCACCTCCCACCTCACCACAGGACACAGCAGTGGTCCTCACTCCAAAGTGTCTCCACGTCTGGGCCTCATTGATGAGTGATGTTCCACCAGGAGAAGGAAGGGTAGAATGGGGGTGGGAAGTGCAGCATGTTACTTCCAGACCTAAGGGGTCTGGTGGCCAGATGGGAACGTGCCGGGGGAGGAGGGTGCTGGACCAAGCAGACTGTCCTGAGAACCAGCTAGTGGGCTTTGTTGTCCAGCAAAACCCATGGTGGGAGGAGCCTGGGAAGGAAAAGAGAGGTTGGAGGTGGGAAGGGTTTCCACAGCAAGACTGAGAGGGACAGAGAGGGCTTGGGTAGGGGTGGGGGTGGGGACCAGGAACCATGACCAGGTTGAGGTGGGGTGCTCAGCCCCAGGTTCATGGCGTGTGTGTTGTCACCCAGCTTGGTGTACTGGGTATGCAGGGTCTGAAGTGACCCTGGGGAAGCCAAGGGGTTGGTGAGAGGACCCAGGCAGAGCTGGGAACAGAAGGGCCAGGTCAGCCCCAGAAGTCTCAATCTGGGGCCGAGAGAGGCATGGCGTCTGCAGAGGAGACTAGAAGAGTAGCTGGGCCAGGCAGGGGCCTGGTGTGCGCACTGCGCCTGGCTCCAGTGAGGCCAGCAGTGACCTCAGGAGGCCAATGGTGCAAAGCCAGGGTGTGGGTGAAGTTGCAGGAAGATCTCCAGAAGGGGGAGGGGGTGCGATCTGCACCTAGGATCGATTACACTTCAGCCCCCTCCCAGGCCCTTGACCACCCCTGACCCATCCACCCTCTGAGGTGCCTGCTTGAGGTGCCCTTTGAGCGGTCAGTCCCACTTTCCTTGACCCTTGGGCCAAGGAGACCCCTCCTGCCTGTCTCAGCCTCTTTCCTGTCCCACCCCAGTGGCGCACTTACCTGCCAGGCCTGAAGTTCGAAGTCATCGGCTCTGCACACATCTCCCTGTACACAGGTGCACCGGGCACGTGCGGAGGTGGTGGCTGGGGGTGGCTCGGCTGGGTGGGGAGGAGGACCCAGCTCAACCTTGCTCTGCCGGCAGATGAGTCGGCCCTGAAGATGGACCATGTGGCGCATGTGCCCCAGTCTCCAGCCAGTCACGTTGGGGGCCGCCTGCCCACGGAGGAGCCCAGTGCAGACATGCTGCGGCCAGACCCCAGGGACAACTTCTTCCTTAGTGAGCTGCCGCGCAGGGGCAGAGGGCCCGGGAGGGCTGTGGCCAGGCCGGGCCATGGTAACCGCCCCTCCCACAGCGCCCCGGATGGAGCCCTCGAACCTGGAGAGCGTGCTGGAGCCCTGCACCTACGCACCCACCTATGTTCTGAAGGACTTCCCCATCGCTAGATACCAGGGGCTACAGTTTGTGAGTACCCAGACCGGAGCCCCGCTGCACTCCAGGAGTCCCTTGCCTCCCCGGAGGCCCTGAGCCCTCACCTCGTCCCCAGGTGTACCTGTCCTTCGTGTATCCCAATGACTACACCCGCCTCACTCACATGGAGACAGAAAACAAGTGCTTCTACCGCGAATCTCCCCTATACCTGGAAAGGTGGGTGGGCGCAAAGGGCACGGGGTGCAGCTTCAGCGGGGGCGGACCTCTGACACGCTGCTACCCTAGGTTTGGGTTCTACAAGTACATGAAGATGGACAAGCACGAGGGGGAGGAGGATGAGGAGGAAGAGGTGCAGCGCCGAGCCTTCTTGTTCCTCAACCCAGAGGGTGAGCCTGCCCCACCCCGCCCCGCCCTGCGTCGCCCCTGTGGTACCCGCTCACCCTTGCTGCCCACAGACTTCCTGGACGACGAGGAGGAGGGGGAGCTGCTGGACAGTCTGGAGCCCACCGAGGAGGCCGCACCACGGAGCAGACGCAGGCCTGCCGTACCAGCGGCCCCCACGGAGCGCGAGCAGGAGCCCCCGGCCTCCCATGCCCCTCTGCCTAGCCGCTCCCGGGGGCTGCGCTGGGCCTCACGCCCCCTGCCCCTCTTCCTGGGCCGCGCCCCGCCCCCGCGCCC